TAAATTGTGTGTAATTTCTACTGTGGTTCCTCAGTTTTTGAATTCTTTGTTTTGTTTTCTGGCAGTTTGTAATATTTTTTTTTCCTTGACTAGGAACCTCTGAATCTGGGCTATAATGTTCCTAGGACTTTTCATTTTGGGGTTTCTTTTGGGAAGTGACTGGTAGATTCTGCTTTTTTTCTACTTTTCTTTTGGTTCTGAAAGATATGTATAGTTTTCTTTTAAGGGTTCTTGAAATTGAATGTCTAGACTTTTTTTTTTGGTTGTGGTTTTCAGAAAGCCCAAGGATTCTTAATTTTTTTCCTCTTCAATCTATTTTCTAGGTCACTTTAGTTTAGTTTAGTTTTGTTTTTTTGTTTTGTTTTTGTTTTTTGGTCATGAGCTATCTTACATTTTCTTCTATTTCTTCAGCCTTTTGACTTAGAAAAAAATATTTTGTCATCTCATTGGCTTCTATTTGGGCCATTCCAATTTTCAGGCAATTTGTTGCTTGGGCAAGGTTTTGTACTTCTTGGGCCAAGTTGCAAATTCACTTTTCAATTCCTTCTTCTATCACTCATTTCTTTCCATTTTTTCCTCTAGCGCTCTCATTCCATTTACAAAAACATTTAAAACTCTGTCTTTTTTTTTTAAGAATTGCTTCATCTCTTCCAAGAATTCTAATTGAATCTATGTCCAAGCTATATTTTTTCTGTAGCTTTGCTTGTAGATGTTTTAGAGTCATTCTCTTTGTGTCTTGAATGTTCCTATCACTACAATAGCTTTTTATAATGGTGTTCTTTTTTTTTGTTGTTGTTGTTCATTTTTTTTCCAGCCTATTTGATATTAGATCTGAGCTCTTTGCATTTCTAGATGGAAGGTCTGGGCTGGTCCTGTCGCTGCTTTCTTGGGGATATTGAGAGTTGTGTTATTCTAGGTTCTCAGGGACAACTCTGTCTGGAGACCTACAAGTTGCCAGCGGTAAAGTGGTCTTATCTAGGGCACAACTTGCCTCCCCTTCTCATCTGAGTTCTGTGAGTTCTTGGTTTTGGCTCTGGGTAGCAATAGATTGCTGATGAACCATCAGCAAACTGGAAAGTTCTCTTGGTTTGAAGTCACAGAACTGTAGGCTTTCCTTTGATCTAGAATTTCTGCTCTGATTATTCCTCCACAGGCTTCAGATTAGGTTAGAAGCTGGAACTGTGACCCTACCCTACTCCTGGGATCTGAGCCACACCACTACTCCTTGCTTGTACCCAGGCTAGAAACTGTGACAGCTCCCTACCTTAGAATCCCCATTCTGCCCAGGATCTGTGACCTGGAACTGGGTCACAGTGAGCAACAAAGCTGCTCCTTGGAACTTGTTCCCACACCCTGCTAGCTCATTCCCTTGTATGCATTGGGATCTCACCTTGCCTTTGGACACAGTCCTTGGGCTCTAGAATGCTCTGCTATGTGCTCCTGGGCAGACTTTTTCCTCAGCATCTGCAGACTTCTTTGACTCTCTATGTCAGCCTGGGCTGGGAAAATGACTCGTAACCTACTTTGTTAAATATTTCCCAATTATATGTAAAAAATTTTTGTGTTCCAAATTCTCTTCCTCCCTCTTGCCCCCTCCCCTCCCCCTCAAAGGCAAGCAATATGATATTGATCATACATGTGAAGTTATGCAAAACATATTTCCATATTAGCCACGGTGAAAAAGAAAGCACACACACACACACACACCCCCTAAAAATAAAGTAAAAAAAAGTGTGCTTCAATCTGCACTGAAAATTCATCTGTTCTCTCTCTCTGGAGGTGAATGGCATTTTTCATCATGGGTCCTTAGGACTTGTCATGGATCATTGTCTAAATCAGAGTAGCTAAGTCTTTCAAAGCTGATCGTCATTACAATGTTGCTGTTACTATGTACACTGTTCTCCTGGTTCTGCGCATTCCACTTTTCATAAGTTCACATAAGACTTTGCAGATTTTTCTGAAACCATTCTTCTCATCGTTTCTTATTTAGTGTTGTTCTTCAGTTGTTTCAGTCACGACTGACTTTTTGTGACCCCATTTAGGGGTTTTCTTGTCAAAGATACCGGAGTGCTTTGTCATTTCATTCTCCAGCTCATTTTACAGATGAGGAAACTGAGGCAAACAAGATTAAGTGACTTGTCCAGGGTCACATAGCTAGTAAAGGTCTGAGGTTAGATTTGAATTCAGTCCTGATTCCAAGCCCAGTGCTCTAACCACTAAACCATGCAGCTGCCCTTCATTTCTTACAGCACAAGACTATTCCATCACAGTCATATACCACAACTTGTTCAGTCATTCCTCAATTGATGGGCATTCCCTTGATATCCAATTCTTAGCCACCACAAAAAGTGTTGTTACTAATATTTTTGTGCAGATAGCTCCTTTTGCCTTTTCTTTGACCTCTTTGGGATACAGACTTAGTAGTGGTATTGCTGGGTCAAAGGGTATGCACAATTTTATAACCCTTTGGGAAGTTCTTAGTTATTCTCCAGAGTAATTGGATCAGTTCACAACTCCACCATTACATTACTGTCCCAATGTTTCCACATTCCCCCTCCAGCATTTGTCATTTTCCTTTTCTGTCATATTAGCCAATCTGATAGGAGGTACCTCAGAGTTTTTTTCTTTTTATTCGCATTTCTCTAATCAGTGGTGATTTAGAGCATTTTTTTGTATGACTACTGATAGCTTTGATTTCTTCTTCTGAAAACTGCCTGTTCATTTTCTTTGACCATTTATCAATTGGAGAATGGCTTGTTGGTTTTTTTGTTTGTTTGTTTGTTTTTATGAATTTGGCTCAGTTCTCTATGTATTTGAGAAATAAGGCCTTTATCAGAGAAATTTGTAAATTTCTTGGATTCCCTAACCAGAATTTGGTCTGGTATACTTTCTAGAGCTGTTTGGAGAAATTTGTTTTTTTTTTGGGGGGAGGTGAGTGGATCGGGGAGCTTGTACTAACTGCTACACTATGTAGACCAGACAATTCCTTCCCTCGTGGATCTTCTGATCTGCAAATGCAAATGTGTTAACCCGTAATGTAAAGAGATAACTGCATTAGAGAGTTGTGGAATAATATCTTAGGTGAAAGCTGAGAGGAAAAGTCTTATCAGCTTTGAGGAAGGAATAGTGTTTGATCTAGGCTATTAAACTTGAGTGGGACTTTGACAGGGCAGCTAGGTGGTTCTGTGGATAGAGTGTCAAGCCTGGAGTCAGGAACACTTAATCTCTGTTTGCCATAATCCACTGGAGAAGGAAATAGCAAACCACTCCAGTATCCTTGCCAAGAGAACCCCACGGTACGGCCCAAGTTCATTCATTAATAATAATAATAGTCCTTTTTAAGGTCTGCAAAGCACTTTACAAAATTACCTCACTTGATTTTCACAACAACCCTATTATCCTAATTTTACAGTTGAGGAAACTGAGGCAGACAGAGGTGAAGTTACTTGCACAGGGTCACAGAGCTAGTGAGTGTCTGATACTGACTCTAGGTCTGCTTTTAATGGAATGTAAACTCTTTGACATTAGGGAACCTATTATTTCTTGTATTTGACTCCTCAGAGCCTAGCACCGAGCCTGGCCCACAGTAGGCACTTAACGCTTTTTGACTGTTTTCATTTATTCAGCTTTAAAGGGGCTTTTTAAATATACATTATTTTATTCCATTCTCACAACAACCCAGTGAGGTAAGGTACCATTATCATTCCCATTTTACAAATAAGGAAACTGAGGTTCAGAGGTCGGGTGACTTGACCAGGGTCACACAGCTAGTAAGGGCGACCTTAGGTTCCTCTGTCAAAAGAGAAAGTTGGATTTCACGTAGTCTCTAAGGTCCCTCCTGTGAGTCTATGGAAATCACCCCACCCACCCATCAGACCCAGGGGCTGCTAAAGGGCCCACTCCCTGCCTGGCTCCCTTTCCAGACACTTCTCCAGTCCTCCGTGCCTGGAATATTTTTCATCCTTGGAATGCCTTTTCACCTCTGTCTTGTTTTCTCTGGCGTACTTCAAAACTCAGCTCAGGTCCCACCTGCTACAGGAGGCCTTTCGGGTCACCCCGATGTTAATCGCGCCCCCCCCCCCCCCGCGCAAATTACCTTCCATTTCACTCTGGTTAGATTTCGTTTGAACAGTCCTTTGCACGTTTGTCCCCCCCATTAGAATGAGAGTTCCCTAAGGACAGAGACAGTGTTTTTTGACTGTCTTGGTATCCCCAGCGCTTAGAACAGTGCTTGGCATGTAGGAGGCACCTCATAAATTCCTGTTGGCACACGAACTGCACTTAAACCTAGGGCTCCCAGAAGAAACAGCAGCTGTCAAGCCGGGGAGTCAGCACACAGTGGGCAGGAGGGCAAGCTGGCAGGACCTTTTCACTCTGTCTCCCTGGGGCGGAGTGCGCCCTGGATGCCAGCTTTCCTCGTGGGATCAGAGATCAGCTTGCCCTGGGCGGGGGCGCGGCAAGGCTGCCAGCCCGGAGAGATGCGGCGAGGAGAGAGGAGGGAGGAGGGACTGGGGGAGCGGAGGCGGGCCGGACGGCTCGGCCCCTCCTCTGCCTGGGCTGGCTCGGAACCTAACAGGCCCCGGGCGAGGCTTGTCCAGCTTGGTGCCCGCCTCCCGGGCCGGCGCCCCAGAGCTAGAAGAGGAAGTTGGAATAAGCAGGGCCCCGAGCATCTCTGCTGAGGGAGGCGGGTTAGGCCTGGACTGACCGCCCGACGGACAACTGACGGATGGACACACAGAGCATCCAGCCTGCGGCTCTGCTGCTCTGTTTGCGTGTGAGTGAGTGAGCGGGCGGGCGCGCGGACAGGGCGAGTGTGCTAGCCTCCCAGAGCCGGGTGGGGGCGAGCCTCGAGCCTCCCGGCCCCTGCGAAGTCCGACAGCCCCGCCCCCCCCCAGCCCCAGCATCCTGGCAGAGCCCCCGAGCGCGGGCGAAACTCTGTGCCAAGAGCTCCCGGAGCGCCGAGCTGCCCGGGACGGGCCGTTTCCGACCAGCCTGCGGTGTGCCCGTGTGCTCCGCTGGGCGCTGCCCTCTGTGACCCGGCAGCCCTAGACCGGCTGAAGCTGCTGCTACGGCGCCAAAGAGATCAAGATGACGGGAGGCAGGGCGCCCACACCTCTCCTCCTCCTCCTCCTCCTCCTCCTCTGCGAGCTGTCGTTGGCCAGCCGCGTCCCTCCAGGTACCCGAGAGTCTGGGGAAGGAAGGAAGGAGGGAGGGAGGTGAGTCGGTGGGTGGATAGGCAGGCACGCTTTTTCAGAAGAAGCTCAGCCCTCGACTAGGCAGGAAGGGCCGAGTTTTCCAGACCCTGGGTAGGGCAAGGCCAGGAAGGACTGACCCCCGGGGCCCCTGCCCCTCTCCCCAGCTTCCTGTTGTCGCCGCGCTTCCAGTAGTTTCTTTCTAGAGCTGCCAGATCTGCAGCCGCAGCCGTCCCATGGGGATCTGGGGCTCCAGTGTTGCTGGCCCCCTCCTGCCGAGAGCAGGAATTCCGTCCCATCCCTCCCGCCCCCCGTCCTGCTTTGTTTCTGGCGGGTTATATTGACAGCCAGGGGTGTGGGCTCTGCAGGACTGGAAACTGGCTGTCCTGGGGCGCTCAGAAGGGACGCGTGCGTGCGTGCGTGCGTGTGTGTGTGTGTGTGTGTGTGTGATAGAGAGTGTGTGAGTGTGTGTGTAAGGGGGGTTTGGGAGCGCCATCGTGAACTCTGCCCTGGTTTTACGAGCGGCCCTGCCTAGAACGGGGCATGGAACTAATTCTTTCTTTCCCACTGATTTGTTATGGTTGTCTGTAAATACATAGACTTTCAGATACGCCCCCATCCCTGGGCTCCTGGCCTAAGAACCTCCCTCCGCCCCACCCCCAGGCTCCTGGTCTAAGTACCCCCCCCCACCTCCAGGCTCCTGGAGTAGGTACTCCCCCTTCTGCCCCGATCCTCAGGCTCCTGGCTTAAGT